AGTAAACAAGGTCTAGAAAAATTACCTGGATCTTTTGGTAGAATAAGCTCTACAGCTTTGGAGGGGAAGATTCGTGCCGAAAGAAGGCATGTTTCGGGTCTAGATTGTATGATCCGAAGGAGCTTGTCAAGGCCAAACAGAAAAATTCCAGGGAAAACCATGTAGAAGTGACGGTCTCCAGCATGAAACAAGAAGAATACCAGAAAAACCATGTAGAGATGGTGTGTGTAGTAAAATATTTCAAACTGTTTTCTCCTTATTTGAGGAAGTGATGTGATCCAAATCACTAACCCTGTGACCAGACAGATCTCCCCAGCAAGGTATATCCGCCCGGTTTTCTGCCATTCCCATATCTGTGATTGAATGAATTGCACCAAAAAGATCAGCAAAACTAAATAATGCCAAAACCAAAACACTACGGCAGAGTTTACACTGAACAGAAAACCAAATGATTGAAATGTTCCAAATGAAAAAAGGGCTAGGATTTACCTCCTCCTGGATATAGTGGCTGACCCCCCAAACGAACAAAGTGCTTGCACCATGGAAAGTGGCAAAAAATATCAATGCAGTCCCAAGCCATATATGGTATCTTACAGAAGCTTCAAACTGGATGCCAAGCAACCGAAATAAGGCAAGTCCTCTTAATATAGGGAAGAGAAGAAAAGCCAGGCAGACTTCTGCTAACAAACCAAACCGAGTTGCCACCTTTAGGTACTTGAGTTGCCATCTGAGATACAGTTTAGGCATCAAACATAATGAAGTTCTTGTTTCTAAGTGTTCGAAATAGAAAATTTTCGGATTTAGAACTCACGAATTCAGCATTAGTGATTTATCAGGCTTCAAGTTCTTGAAATCATTTGAGATGCGTGCATAAAAATTCCAAGCTAAGAAGAGGATAAAGAGGAAGACTGCTAGTATTTCTAGAGTGGACAAAACACCCACAAGGGTGTTCACTAGCAATGGATTTGAGAAGCCAGAAGTCAATTTCCTCCCTTTTCTGCTATCAAAATTAAAGCACACAAGTAGAAGTTAAATTGGCATCTTGAGTGATCACAACCCAATGACATAATAACATGCACTACCTTCTTATTGATTCCCTTGGCTTCAAATTCAAGTAGAATGATCCAATAATAGCCAAAGCAATAGGAGGAAATGTATACACAGCAAAATTAAGACCTGCAAAATATTCAGTATAGTGTTTGTCTTTCCCCCCATTGGATAGCAGAAAGCAAAACCTATAATTCCAAATGAAATCTGAATTATGTACCATAATATCCAAACACTGTAGCCCTTGCTTTATCTTCAGCCGCCTTCCATTTTCTTGTCCATAGCTGTGTTGGCTTCAGAAGCCAAAGAGAAACCCAAGCAGCAAATATTAAAATCAAAAGGATCTTAAGAGCAACCAGAAGAGTAGAATTTGCCATGTCAGTTTCTTTCCAGAGGCAGAACTAGTTTTTGAATTCACCACACCAAGTTCTAAAGGGACTTCTACATAAAGGGCTCGGGAAAAGCTTGTCTCCACTAGCCAAAAGGAGCTTCAAAAGTAGCCCACCACCTCCCCCTGGAGTGCCTGCCACTTACAAATCCCAATAGAGGTACTTATAGTTGGAAATCCCAATGAATATATGACCTGGCTGCAATATGAGCTGCAAGATATGAATAAGACATGCATTATAATTAATAAATTTTCCGATTAATTATAACAAATTTTTTGGTATTTTTTCTCCTTTGATCACAATAAGAAGGTGTGACACAATGGCTTTTGTGAATTGAAAATGAGACATCTTATATGTCATGCATATGACATTAAAGGGTCACAATCTGTTTTTTTCTTAAATTAATTGGAGCTCTTGTTTTTCTGTTGCGATCATCTTTTCTCTAAAAATGATCCTTTTTTTCAGAAAGTGACAGTCTAAACTACAGTGGAAGGGGATTTCCTAACATACACACTACCACGGTGCCATGGGAATTCAAACATGAGATCACTAGTTCGCAAGTTGAGACCCTTTTTCATTGGACTGGTTTTACGAATATGGTCCCCTTTATTATGTATTGGAATTTTGATCCACCCAGTTCTCTTTGTCTTATTACTCTTGGTTGATAAGATTCGGTTCATTTTGCTGAGGCCATGCCAAACTTGATGAAAGTAACTCGTGAGGTGAAAGTTTCTGCATTGAGTGAAAAACATGCCAACTAGCCAACTAGTAGTGTGAGAAGTCACTGAGTTCCAAATCTCCCAAAGGCTAAAATAGGATGATTTTGCATTATGCAGTTTAGCTTCTTATTCTGCATAATTTCTAACTGATTTGGCACATAATTATTTCTTCATATATATATATATATTATACACAAGCTCTCACTGTGGCCACTTTGATTTGTTTGACACAAACACAATTTCCATCTAGCATCATTGTTTGTGATCATTATCTAATTCTCCCACCACATAATATAGTATATAAGAGCACTTCCAACGGGAGGTTCCAGTCTGGGCAAGAGGCCCCCATTCATGTTTCCAGTGCCCCATTCTTGCTAGGGTAAGAGATGGGCTCCACCAACTTAGGCAAGCCCAAAAGCAAGACTTGCCTGGACAAGCTAGCCTAATGCTGACATCAGCTAATTTAAATAACAAAAAAATTGAAAAGAAAAAAAAAACCAAAAATTTCAGAATTTTTTTTAAAAATAAATACCTAGCCATATTCTTCACTTCCCACACCAAAACTCTATACAAATTCATCTTCTCATATCTCATGTGAATAGTGATTGCCTTCGAGTTGCCATGACAATAGGTGAAAAACCACCAAAAAAATTTACTAGGATAGACACTATTCATATAAATAGGAAACCACTTGCCCGGACTAGTGCCTCCCAATGGAACTGCTCTTATTCAAACTTTATATGATACACATAGCAAATCATCCAGTAGATACGTATGGCCATGATCAGTGCAGGCTTACCAAACACTGCACAAAATGAAATGATGACAGAGCACAGCATGCACCATATGTTCGTATCAATTTGACATGTGGAGGATGGTTTGGCCGTAAGAGTTATATCAACTAAATTAATGTAATGATCAGTTCATAAAAAGTAGCAGAGCTTAAGACGTGTCAACGAGAATTTTAAGATGAACTTTAATTAACCCATGTCTAAGAGTTTGGAACTGTTTTCTTATCTGTTCCATTCTACTTGTATACCTTCATCATTAGCAACAGTTTTATTAGAAAGTTTTAGAGATCGAACTTTATGGCATATCAAAGTAGACTTTTTTGATACGAGGTATATTGGGGGAGAAGGGATCGAACTTATGACCTCAAGTGGTACTCTTAACTACTTGAATTACAAATCCCTTGATCAAAGTAGACTTTAAAACATAGCAAAGTGGACGTTAATGCATGTCAATGAGAATTCTAATAATAAATATGAACCATTACAATTTAACAGGGTTAAGACTCTTCATGTATGATTAGTAAATGCAAACTTTATGACAAGGGGGATTTCTCACACACACACACACTATCACGGTGACGTGAGAGTTCAAACCTAAAACTAATAGTTTGCAAGTCACAACTCTTTTCTATTGGAGTAGACCTTGTTAGCAATTAAAGAGTAACCTTAATTAAGGGGTATGTCTAAAGGATGAAACTATTTTATGGCAGATGAAACCATTTATGGGCTCTAGGCTCAAGTAAGAAGATGCCCAATCTGGCCCCAAGAAAAAGTAAATAATATTTTTATTTACTCATTCTATTTATTTTAGAAGAGCCACAAATTACCTTAATCTAAAGCCCATGTTTTTGAACTTTCTTCTTGAATAAAAGATTTGTCTACTTAGGAAATCCCAATGTAAACTTTATTTAAATCCTTCATAGCAGAGCAGCATAAGAACAAAATCCATTTGTTGCTGCAGCTGTTTCTTGTCTGGTCCGTATCTAAACTCCTTGGTGGCATCCTATGACTAGGAAAGGTGTAATTCATTTTCTTTGCTTTAAGCTAGCCTGTTTTGACGCCATGATTAGAAATACCGAGTTCAAATGGATGAATAGTTAGCTTTTAATTGAGTAAAAACTTTTAGACTTAAGAAAGTAATGTTATACTGATCACATTTACATTTTTTTTCCTTTTCTAAAAGAGTGAGCACGAAGTTAAAGTGAGTCCGAAACGGGTGCCCAAGCCCAAACAAACAAGGGGATCAAGCCCAAAGACAAAACATGCCCAAAGAAAAAGCAAGAGCTTAAATTTGATTGCTTGTGGATCAATCTATGATTTAAGATGGCACCACAATGTCAATAACGCGGGACAGTTGAGGGTAAGAAAAAAGTATATATTGTTTGACAGGCGCACACTTTGGCTTCCCTTTTTTTGGTGTGTGTGTGTGTGTGGACAATATATGTATCACATGTAATTTGGAAACCTGTTTGTATGCATGCCAAATATATGTGAGAAGTCTTGTGACACGACAAGGCGTCGGTAAAACATAGGCTTTGAGTTCTCTGCAAGAATTTCCTACCACTTTGGCACTATGCATGGAACGGAATATATGGCCTGCTTTTCTTTGTGTTGTTCTAGTAATAAAGACCACATTCTACACGAGCTCATGTTTTTGCCTAACTTTGTAGGGTCATCAAATTCAACCCATCTTGTTTTTAAACACCATCCATACAGCTATTCCCAAAATGCAAGGTCAATTCCTAAGGCCTAGCAAAACTGGAATCTATGGAGGAGAAAAAAAACCCATGAAAGTTGAATTTCTTTTAGACCAAAAGGCACCTATGTAGAAGAGATGGGGCTACATGACATATGAAAGAGCCTAAGCATTGACAAAAGAGAAATATCTCTCCCTTTTTTTTCTCTCCTCTTTTCTCTTGGTGGCTTTGAGAGCAACGACTCTTTCACTATAAAACTGCCAAGTTACTAGCATCCAGTCTTGTTACCTTCGCTTCCTGTCATCTTTTTCTGTCACTTTTCTTTTTGTCACCCTACTTCTGATTCGTTACGCCTCTATGGAAGAAAAGGAGTATGTTCTGGTGGAAGCCAAGGATTTTTATAAGAGATATAGTGCACGAGCGTTGTCACCAGAGATTGTGGAGGTAGAAGAGGAGATAGAAGAGGAGATAGAAGAGGAGATAGAAGAGGAGAGCAGGAGTTGTAGTACCGCTGCGGGCGGCACTAGCTGTGAGAATGTGAAGGTAGATAGAGTTCTCAAGGATGTATATGTTGCTGTTGGTAAAGATGACACAGATGTTCTGAAATGGACGCTTGATAATGCTGTTTCCCCTGGCACTCGGGTTTTTCTAGTCCATGTCTTCGCTCCAATCACCTACATTCCTACACCAGGTAACGCCAATGTACTTGTTCATGTTTCTTTGTGTGTTATATATATGGGATTCTGATCAGATCAGAGTCAGACACAACAAATTGATTTTGAGGGTCTTGATCAGTGATCAAACAACACATCATGCTTACAAATTGTTTTTTTGACCAAGTTCTTGTTTCTGCAGTCTAGTCTATTCTGTATCAGACTGGATGGTTGTGTTTGCTTCACATGTGCTCTGTTATAAGCTTATAAGAATTGAATTGGTATCACGAAGTTATGAAAGAGGGTTACTTTAATATTTTACGACTTTTGTATGTTGAAGTATCAAATCCTAAGAAATTTTCTTTTCGATTTTCTCTTTGTGAAATGCTGAGTAGTTGGAAGATTAGCAAAGAGCCAATTGACTGAAGATCAAGTGAGATTACACATGAATGAAGAGAGTAACAAGAGGAGGAACCTGTTGCAGAAATATGTGAGCTTGTGCAATGATGCTAAGGTGTGGATTTTACTCTTCCCCCCACCCACCGCAGCATACGTTGCCAAAAACCAATATATAATTTCAATTTGTCTGATGATGAATGAAAACTTGTGGTTTTCATGTGACTGCAGGTAACAGTGGAGACAATGCTCCTTGATAGCAAGGACACAGCAAAAGCAATTCTTGATCTCATTCCTGTTCTTAGCATCATCCACCTTGTCATAGGAACCAAAAGACCACCTCACTCAAGGTATGTTTGCCTGTTTTCTTTTGTTCCACCAACATGAAATTCGGCCATTTGTGCCACATTTACTGACGGACGACATACATTGTTAATCACATTAAGTAGGTCTCACGTTTCACAAGAGATGCGATTCACAATGTGTTCGATAAGTCTGTTGCATGCACAGCAGTGAACTTGGCATTTAACTAACATGGTCAAATTCATGTTGTTCAGGCGAGTGCGGGAAAAATTGTCATTAGGAGAGTTTGTTAGGAAGAATGCGCCGGACTTTTGTGAGGTTAGCATTGTTCATGAAGGCAAGAAGGTGGAGGCCGATCAGCAAGTAAATGACCAGATCATGCCGGCAAATACTAGCCACCCTGAAAGAAGCTTCTGCGCATGCTTTCCAGGCAAGTTCAATTCAGATGCATAAACACTCTCTATTTTTTTTATTTTTTTATATGCAGTTCTTTTTTCTTTTAAAGGGATTTATAAATACAGATTACATACATTACTCATGAAACATTTTGATAGACAGTGCGCTGGAAGAGCAAGATTTCTTAAGCAGCAGCAACAGCAAAAGCAGCGACAGAGATGATCAAACAAACTCAGCTATGCACTGTGGAAAATGGGAGGGCCAAAGACTCAAGTTTATGACAGAGATGAACAAGCTGAAGATGCAGAACAGGACCTGTTAGTTAACAATAATTATAACCCCATATTTGGTTGTTAATTAGAAGAAGAATTAGAGTTAATAATGCAGAAAATGGAAGGAAAAGCAAGGGGAAGGTTCAAGTCCCAACAACTCAATGTGGAGGACACTATTTTTATGGGGAAACAGTCAGAGAGGGTCTAATTATAACAAACATAAAAGAAATTATGTAGGAATGAAATGAGTTCATATTTTTTTTCATGTTGGATACTATGAGACAATCATTTCTATCTTCTCCTAAGTGTGTATATATATAATCGATCGGTTTTAAGAAATTCACAATTCTAGAAAATTCATCACCTTCATCCTCATTTGTATGTATTTATGTAAATAATTTTTGAAATTGAAATTAAATTAAATACATACAAATGAGGTTGAAGGGGATGAATTCTCTAGGAGGGTGAAATTCTCAGAAACGATCAACTATAGTTGAATACCTTTTATCAATTGGGAATTGCAGAATGAGTAGAGGAATATAGCCAAAATTAATGGCTAAATCATATGAATTGCATGTGAACCCGGGAAATCCTGAGAGATGTGCGCCTCAATTCTACGGTTCCCAGAACGCCACGTGTCCTCGAATAAAATTGAGACACTCACCCAAGTATCAATTTTCTTTTTGGACCGACACTTAAAAAAATATCTTCACAATCACAAGTAGAATTTCCCTCCGTCAAAACAACCCATAAATAGATGAGATGAGAATGCTTCCATCCTCCCAGACCGCGTTTTTTCCATACTTAAACAAAAACTAGATCTCCGGCAAAACAAAAAAAACACCACAGCAAACGCAAACCGAAACTCAAATCTAATCAAATTCCAATTTGATCCCTTTTTAGGGTTTTCTTTTTCTTCTTCGTTTGGTTTTCTTCTTCGGAACCCTAACAGATCGCAAACCCTAGAACAGTAGCAGAACCATTGTAATTCTATCATTGATGTACGCCTACGACAACAGATACACCGACGTCAACTCCTACCGTGAGCGCCGAAGGTACTACCCCAACTCAATTCCATTGTTTTTCATATCCCTGTTTTGGTTCATTTCTTTTTCTTTTTGAATTTTGAATTTTCGTAATTTATGTTCGATTATGTAATTGCCTATTTTGCAGTGACCTAATGGGTCCAGCGCCTGCGGTGGCTCCGCCAGCGGGCCCCGCCTATGGCCGTGGCGGTGGGGCAGCCCCGTATGCGGGCCCGACGCCTCCAGTCGCCCCGTATTCTGGACGAGTAGCTGGACCGGTAACCGGTCCAGGAGACTTTAATGGGTACCCGCCGTTCCAGCCCCCTTCGGGTCGGTTCAATATTGGGCGAGGTGGTGGTAATGGGAGTTTTGGTGGCAGAGCCTCCAATGGTCATATTGGTGGTGGGAGGGGCCGAGGCGGTGGTGGTAGGTTTGGTGGTGGTAGGGATTTTGATGGAGGCCGTGGCGGTGGCGGTAGGAGCTCTGGTTTTAGCCGCGGTGGAAGCGGTGGGCGTGGATTTGGTGGAAGAGGAGGAGGTAGACATGGTGGGTCATCAGGAGGAGACTTGGATAACATTGTGCTTCCCAAGCAAGATTTTAGGAGCTTGGTACCTTTTGAGAAGAATTTCTATGTTGAGAGCTCTTCGGTGAGGGCAATGTCAGAGCAGGAGGTTATGGTGTATCGCAACAGGCGGGAAATTACCGTCGAAGGGCATGATATCCCAAAGCCGATTCAGATGTTTGAGGATGCGAATTTCCCTGGTATTGCCTTGCTGATAAATGCTGTTGAGTATTTTGTTATTACTAATGTAGAGTTTTTTTTGTTTGTGCTAGTAGCTAATTTTGGTGTAATTTGATGTGCTAGATTACTGCCTTGATGCTATTGCAAAATTGGGTTTTGTTGAACCAACACCAATTCAGGCTCAAGGATGGCCAATGGCATTAAAGGGTAGAGATTTAGTTGGAATTGCCGAGACTGGTTCTGGTAAGACTTTGTCCTATCTGCTCCCAGCTTTGGTGCATATTAGCGCACAGCCTCGGTTAGGTCAGTATTACTTACCCTTTCTGTTCAGGTCCCACTCTGTCTCCCTGCAATCGACACTGAGTTTGGTTATTCTTTTGTCAAAAACATTCAGTGCCAGGTGAAGGTCCTATTGTGCTAGTATTAGCACCTACTCGAGAATTGGCAGTTCAAATTCAAGAAGAATCTTCAAAATTTGGCTCACGTTCTAATATTAGGAGTACTTGCATTTATGGTGGTGCTCCAAAAGGACCCCAGATACGGGATCTTAAAAGAGGTACTTGTTAATTATTCAGTTCCTTTTGTCAGTTCATAAATGGCAGCCTACATATGGTAACAGCCTAACTTCTACCATGTGGCAGGGGTTGAGATTGTCATAGCTACACCTGGCCGTCTGATAGATATGTTGGAAGCACAGCACACAAATTTGCGAAGAGTGACCTACCTAGTTTTGGATGAGGCTGACAGGATGTTAGACATGGGGTTTGAGCCTCAGATAAGGAAAATTGTATCACAAGTACGTTACTTTTACATCATTTATTCTGCTTCGCTGATCACTGCTAAAAATGATATTTTCTTTTTCTTAAAAGATCTAACAATATAATAAATACAACCGTTAACTGCTTCAGAATGGTTTGTATGGAATTTTATAAATATTATATGATGGACTTACCTGATGTGCTTGACCAGTGATTGTTGTTACTTGAGAGACTTTATAGATCTGTTCTTCTTTTGACGTGTATCTCTCTGCTAACAAGATTTTGATGTAAATACAAATTAGGCCGCCAATGTTGACACATTTTAGTGTTCTAAAGTATAGCTTAGGAAGTGCATTTAATCAAGTTTAATATTCTTACAGACCCGACCAGATCGGCAGACATTGTATTGGAGTGCCACATGGCCAAGGGAGGTTGAAACTTTAGCAAGGCAGTTTTTACGTAACCCATATAAGGTTTCTTTTACCCCATATTAATATGATATTTTAGCTTGCTTGTGCAGATATACGTCTATGTGAATTGAGACATAACGATCTGATATGAATTGTTTTATTTTTAGGTAATCATTGGATCAGCAAGTCTTAAAGCAAATCAATCTATAAAACAAGTTGTTGAAGTTGTGTCAGATGGGGAGAAATATAATAGGTCTGTCTCTTGAGCTTGACTTCTGAGTACAGGAAAAGGTTGATGTTTTTGATTTGTGGTTAAATGCTTCAAATTGTTTTGTTGGCAGGCTGATCAAACTGCTCAAAGAAGCAATTGTTGGGAGCCGAATTCTGATATTTGTCGAGACGAAAAAGGGATGTGACCAAGTTACTAAGCAATTGAGGATGGATGGATGGCCAGCTCTATCCATTCACGGTGATAAAAACCAGGCCGAAAGGGACTGGGTCTTGGCTGAGTTTAAAAGTGGAAGGAATCCTATAATGACTGCCACTGATGTGGCTGCGCGGGGTCTTGGTAGGATAACTGTGTGCTAGGATTCTTAGGTGTCTTATAAATTTAGGTCTTGAATTTCAAAGATGGCGAGTCGGCCGGCTGCTGTCCAGTTCCTGAGAATATAATTTGTGGTTTGGGTGTGAAGGCAGGTGCCATCATATGTGATGATTGGGACTGTTTATCTTTTCCCATCCTTCTTTAAGCATCATACTTTCTGCTTCACCAAGGGAAGTTGGATTGAGGGGCAATATTGGTATCTCCTACTTGTACAATGTCCCCTGTGATAGATAACTCTTTGGATACTACCTTATTCTGAAAGCTCATGTTACGTGGACACCAGGAGCTAGGTTTCACTGGAATGGCTCGGGTAACTTCCTAATATTGTTTGGGTGGTATGCCATATTATTGTATGGAAGCCATTATGTTTTTATTGGTCCGGAAAGTAGTGCATATTGTTTTGTATACATGGGGCAGTTGATATTCGTATGGCTATCTCTACAGGGATAGTTGTCAATTGTTTGCACTAGAGGTTCCTAAAATGGCTTGGCTCCTCCTTTCAAGTGTCTAAGTAACATGGTTGAAGTTTATTGGCCCCCATCCACAGTTATGGAGCTGGTTATCCTCGCAGCCCGGTTGACTCACACATGCTTGTTCATTTGATTGGATATGGGAAGTGATGGTAGTGAAGCTGCTCCTTATCCCTGCTAGGTTAAGGTGGGCACATTTACGTGATGAATGTGTTGTCTTTAATTTGATCTTCAGATCTCAGGGGTGCAGGGATAAGGTTGTTTGCAGTTTTCTCCATGTTTTGTCCCTTGCACATCATTTGGCCTAACTTCTGTTTTGTTTGTTGTAGATGTGAAGGACATAAAATGTGTGATCAATTATGATTTTCCATCAAGCCTAGAAGATTATGTCCACAGAATTGGACGAACCGGTCGTGCAGGGGCAACAGGAACTGCTTTAACCTTTTTCACACACGCGAATGCGAAATTTGCTAGGGAACTAATCAAGATCCTGCAAGAAGCAGGTCAGGTGGTTAGCCCCGCATTGGCCGCAATGTCCCGGTCAAGTGGTAGTTTCGGAGGTAGTTCCACTCTTCTGGATATGGTGGCATATATGTGTGAATTTGTTGGGTTGGTGAATAATTTGGTTTTTTGTTTTTTGTTTTTGGTTTTCAAGCAGGCTCTGGAGGGAACTTCCGCAATAGAGGGCGAGGAGGAGGATTTGGGAATCGGATTTCGGGTTCAAATACTGTTCCTATTGGTTACAAGAGGCCATGGTAGTCTGTGTATCGCAGCTCAGCTGGCTAATGTATTTACTTCGGTTTCAAACAAGAAAGACAGAGAGTGTATTGGAAACATGCTATTTTTAGAGTTATCCTAATGATATGTTTGATTTTATGCATTGGAAATTGGTTTCGCTATACCAATTAGTTTTCTTGTCAGTTCTTCTAAGACAACATGAGACGAGTTAGGAGCAAACTGAATCACGTCAGCAAAGAATTAAAGTTCACAATTAAGTTGTATTTTTGTCCCATGGTAGCCCAAAAAAAAAAGGTTCTCAGTTGTTATGAGCAAACCCTTAAACTATAACAGCCGGCCCAATTCAGCTCCCTGATAATATCCCCAAAAACCTGAACAATACTCGGGCTTGGAAAAGGCATTAGGGTTTGTATTCAAGAATTTTGCTAGCGTCAGTGGCTCATGCACTCCCAAACGTTAGTGAAATCTGATGCATTGTAGGGTTTACGTGTATCACACGGACGTCGGTGAGTGGCTGACGTAGCATTTTTCCTGTATTGGAAGACGTCGAATGAATATGAATGGAGCTTTGTGTTCAATTATTGAAGTTGGAAGGAGAACAATGGCTTTAATTGGATCTGACTAGTGCATTGTCCTCTAATAGTAGATGGAGATGGTGGGATGGGGTCTGGTCTATTTGAATTTTCAACGTTTGGAAATGGTTAAAAAGCAATGACAACGACAACAATGCCTTTAGGCTAAGCTTTGTGGCAGAAAATAAAAGGGCACACCAACTCTCCTGTGGACTTTGGACCCTGGCACTGGCTGGACCAATATGTCTCCATCCAAACATGGTGCCACTTCCTTCAGAGTTCAGAAAGAGATAGGTAGGTTTTGTGTTTGTATTCCAAATATATCTAATAATTCCTTGTTTTCTTCACAAATTGCACTTCAAATTTATACCTACGTCATATATACCCTATAAATCGGGGAGCTTCTTCATTCAGAATTTGAAGTCAACGATTGGTTAAGGATTTTTAATCTCAATTATTCATTAAATTTGTTACATGCAATCCAATGACTAAGATTAGAAGTCCATAACCAATCCTTAGCATAAAATATTTAATAAAGCATTTCTCTAGCCAAAGTACCAAACAGTAGCTTTATAGCTATAATCTTCGCGATTCAAATATCGCATTAAGCGATTTAGTCTTCTTAATATAGGGTTTGTATTAAAGAAAAATTGTGTAAGATAAGAGTGAATTAATGGCTAATTTTTAGAGTAAAAGAGGAAAACTATTTGTATATGCATATGCTGGGTTGCTGCTCACACGTCAACTTATTATGCTTTTGTAGCAGTGGCCGGGTGACCCGTTTGTGTTAGTAGAGTCCACGCAGCTGCTGCTAGTTCCTAATGCCGAGGGCCGCTGTCTCCCAAGTGCTTGCTTATATAGATTTTGTGTTTTTCCTCTCAGTGGTAGGTGGAAAGGCCTATCCATGGTACATGCTCATGCAATTCAATATAAGTGGCAAGCCATATATACATGTACATCTCCATATATCTATCCATCATCTATAGTGGGTTTCTTTTTCCGACTCAAACCCTAATGGTATTGGTAGGGACCACTATGGATAATTATGATAAGCCAAGTGCTCAATTTGGAGTCATTTGGTAGCAGAAAGAAACCAGCTTGCAATGTAATTTTCCACATCATCAACATCATCAAATCTATAATCAATAAAAAAAAAAAAAAAAAAAAAAAAAAAAAAAAAAAGCAGAAAAAAAAAAAAAAAAGACATGACCATCTTTAGTGGAAGCAAAAAACACTGTGAAAGGAAAGTGGGAAAGACCCCAGTTTCTGTCTTCAGTTTGTTTGTTTCCACAACTCCACTCTGGCGTGCTACCCTCTTTTCCCTCCCATTCCTTCCTATATATGAAAACTAAAGTAATGTCTTTATCTGGAATGCATCTAGCTCTTCTTTCTGTCAAGGGAGGTGATGTTGATGCTCCCAAACTCATGGGTTTAGGACAAATGTTAGGGTAATTTAATTTCTTAATAACTTATTGTTAATCTCGAACATGGATGCATGTAAGGATTTGGTTAATATGATATCCGAGCTTTCTTTTATAAGTGTGTTCGATTCTCGTTCTCCACTTCTTTGTGAGATGGGATATAGGGCAGGGGTGAAAAGAAGAGTTACTTATGACACTGGTTTTTCCCCTATCAGTTTGATAAACAATGAAAACCAAATACATAACTAAAACAATAAATTAATATAATGGCATATCAATCTTTAATTAGTGGTTCAAATAATAGAATTGAAAATGCGTGTGACTGCAATATCAGGGGCTTAAAACAAATTTTGCTTGGGGAAGATCTATAAAAAGTTAAAATAAATAATTAAAACATGTATAATAATAGCATTTAGTTATTGAATAATATATGTTAAATAATTTGTAATGTGGATGTTTGTACTTTGTGAGGGTGAAGGTGGAAGTGGAGGTGGAGGTAGGTGGGGAAGCTGACTCGGGTGAGCATATATCTCAAGTGGATGTCTACTAAGCACCACCTAAACAAGAATATAACTCCTAAATTAATTAATAAAGTTGACCACATTACTGAATTAATTAATATTTGATTAGACAAGTAAACGGATTATTAGATACGTTTGACATTCTTTCTCCCCTTCACCTCCATTTCATGCATGCATTCCACAAGACCATAACTAATTTATAAGAATAATTTTACTCTTACCACATTTGTATACTATATTTCTATACCACCTTATGTGGCAGATGAGGTGGACAGCCACATATAAATTAAATTATTTAACATTTTCTTTTCTTTTATGATTTATTAACACTTGAAAAAAATATCAATTAAACTTTCTTTATTAAAATACACTTCATTGATATGTAGCGTATGATATGGGCATGCCACATCATGTGGTATAGAAATGTGGAATAAAAATGTGGTAAGTATAGCATTACTCAATTCCTCACATAATAATAATAATATAAAATAATAAATAGGATCATCTTCTTCTTGGATCGATTGTGGTAAAACCTAAAGAACATATCTATGATACTTCCCTTATCCTATGTATGGAAGAATATACTCCTCCTTCTTGTAGACCATAGTTTGATACAAATGTAAAAATAATTTATGAGCAGAAATGTAAGAGTTCTTACTTACGGAGAAAAAATGAAGTATTTTCCTAAAAAGAATAATTTCGTTTTTGGTTTTTTGAGTCAGTCAACAAAAAGGAAGATAAATATTGGCCAAAAACAATTAAAAAAACTAAAGGAAAATAATAATAATTTAGGAAGGCAAGGGATAAGTCCCATCTTCTGGGCCCTCCCTAGGTCTTCTCCCTCCGCTCCTTCCTCCAGAGTGGAACTTGGGCCCTTCTCCTCAACTCACTCAAAATTCATGAATCATGTCCTTCTTTCAGTTTGTACCATATATAACACGATGTGCAGCCTTAAAGGGAAGCATTTATACAAAAGAAGAAGATTGGACGGCTGTCTGGCCTTCCATCCCTCACCATTGATTCAAAACAGTCGTATAGCAAAGGACTTGTGGTTTGAGTTAACCTACACTTGATGTTTTTGTTTGAATTTCTCCAATATCACTCATATAAAAGATAAATAAATAATATTTATAATCATATTGTAAGGATTGTCGTTGGAGTTAACCTTGCACTCGATGTCATTAAATGTCACGAAAGTACTTTACAATTACACGGATAGTTGAACAAAACTAAAATAATGTGTAAAATTTTCATTTATGTTTTGATTAGGTCTTTGTTAAGTTAGTAGATTCTGATCCAACTCTGACAATTCCAATTTTGGTATTTCGTTTTTGCATTGTTACATGTATTCAATATTTTATTAACCAACGATTCGATCAAGAAAAAGATATATTGCCGTGGACATAAATAACTTTTGATTTTCATCTGAATCAAAGTTTCAAGTTGTAAACTAATCTTCAACCCTTTTTTCTCTTTATCTGTTTTTTTCTCCATGAAAAAAGGGTTAACATTATCTAGTTGAGATCCTTAAAAACATCAAGTTGATAGAAGGCAAAATTGCCAGGTGCAGTGCACACACGTGCACAGAATAAGTCACAAGTTTAAGTTGTCCAGCCCGTGACAAAGACAAACTTTATTGTTCAACATTTTTATCATTAGTTTTCTAGAAATTGACCCTATTGTTTGGTCTAAGTATAGGCACGGTTTGATTAACCAAATCATGTGAGATAAACCGCTTACGGTTTGATTAACCAATAAAGAAAATTCTTAAATTTTCAACAAATTCAAAACCCCTCAACTTTCGTCCTAATAAAATATGTACCTACAAATTTACCTATATATCTTGTATATATCCAATATGGGTAGGTAAATTACTTTCACAATATGCCTATAAATGTGATAGCTTTAATATACCTACAATATACTCATAATAGGTAAATTACAAATTATATTATTGCATAATAGGAAATTATTAGGTAAATGATATCTAAAATGCGTTTATAAAAGTTGGGTATATTATTTGAAATAATAAGTAAATTCATACTAGGTACATTATTTTTCATAAAAGAAGTAAAAGGTACGTTAATTTTTCAACATAAAATTATATGTACGCTATTATATTTATAAAATAATAGATAATTAATCACATGTATACTTCATAAATAAATAAATATTTGTTTTAATTAAATAAACCGATTTTGTATGTTAAGTCTGACTTTATTGTTAAGTTTTTTATTTAAAAATACAAATTAATTCCTACGTCCATTTGAAGATCTTTCCAAATTCAATGCGTGTCATTAGTTACAATTCAATTAAAAATGGTTTCTATATTGACTCCTACATTAATATACAAAATGCAATAATGGCTTAGTTGGGGGTATTTTAGGAATAAAAAAAGTACAATAACTTCGATTTTGCGATTGAATAGGTAACTTACCGAGTTGGATCATAGTCATCAGATTTTATTTAGAGAAAACCAAGATTTTATTCAAACAAAAATAAAAAGATAGATTGTAGTTGAGAAAAAATGACTTTGAAGGGGTTAAGTTAAATTTACTAACTAAAAAAAATCGGGTGAGGTAAGGATATAGGTAGGTGTCAAAATCTTTAGAGCAATGTATGAAAAGTTAGTGGGGTCGATTTGGAACTATTGTAAAAGTAGAAGGCCTTATACTAAAAGATACTAATCCTTTTGGCCTTATCATGCTAAATATCAAAATATACTGTTGGCCCCTAATCGATTGTCCAATTGTGAATTAACAGCAGATCCCCCTATCAACAGCACCAAGTACTTATCTGATTGGCCCCTCCCCTTTTGATAAGCCGTTCAACTTTACTGCCATTTACTCTCTTCTTATCCATAAAAAGAAAATAAATAAATAAATAAATTTAATTACGGAAATAAAAAGAAATAGACGAAAAAAAGAGAGAGAGAAAACAAAGCACGTGGTGGCTTCCTATATATACCCTTCCTCTACCCTCCTCACTCCTTCGTGAGCTGGCTCTGTTTCTTGTTTCGCTCAGATCACACTCCCCCTGTCTCTTCCTGTATCTCTCTCGCTCTCTGAAAACCCATGGTTAAAAGCTCGCATTTAAACCCTAGTTTCCAGCAAGTGTGAAGAAATATAAGATTTGAATTATAGAAAAAAAGAAAAAAAGAGTCTAATTCATTTCTTCTCACTCTCGCGTCGCGCTCGATCGTTTTCTCTCTGTTTCTCGTACTTTCTCCGGGTTTCTCGAACTTTCTCCGAGCTTCTCGCGGTGTGCGGTTACAGAGAGCGCGAGAGAGGGGGGAGAGGCGTCGAGCATTTCAGCACCGTAGAGACTTGTGCTGTATGTCAGTAGACTGTGTAGAGACCTACTGTGGTGGAATTGGTGAGCTTGTGAACCCCTTGCAATGGCCTCAGCTTCGAAAAAAACGTCGCCTTCTTGTTGCTTCCGCTCGGATTCGGCTCCCATTCCACGCGAGGCGGCGCCGGCTCCGAACGCCGTCGTTTCGGCCTCCGTGGTTCAAGATTGGACCGCCATCGCGGGTTCCGAAGATCGGCGAGATGATCAGCGACCCAAAAAGATCGCGATGGCGTCCTTGATTACCGAACCGTCCGCCAATGCATCCACCACTGGTATATTTACATTTCTTATTTCGTGGTATTGATTCTTTAACTAATTGCTTAACATACCCATGATATTTGAAAATTTCTAGTGATCATTGTGATTGATATTCGCTTATGTAAGTGGTTTTCTGTTTGATTTTTTTTTCTTTAATGTTTGCAAGGCTGTTGATATGTCCTTTTCGTTTCTAAATTTGGTGAGACTCGTCTTTGCGGTATCCTTTTTATTAATTTGTCTTGTTTGCTGCTTGGAGCTAAGAATGCTGGAAATAAAACTAAAAGAGAAAAAGTGAAATTTATATGAAAATACAGGGAATCAATGCTAAAGAGAAAGATAGAGTAAGACAACCGAATCTAAATTGGAGAACAATCTAATTTCTTTTTAAAGTTTTAGTAGATTAATACGAAATAGTCTAAATTTGAATACTCTTTACAGAAAATAAATCAATAAAGTAGGAACTTGTTTCAAGATCGTTAATTTCTTGAATGCTGGATATCTTTATTTAAATTGCAGACCATAATCAATTGGGAAAAGAAGGAAAATAATTCAGACCACAAGAATATCTGGATGTGGTAGAAAATGTTTGATTTTGATGAGCTCCTTTGTTTTTCTATAATCTCTAAGCACAGACTCCACTTTTATTTACTAAAATAAAATTTTCCTACACACTTTTCACACACAGATATAACTTCATAGAATTTCTAATGTAAACCTGAGGACTGTAGCATCTTATTGCAATAATTTTCCTCTTCAAAGAATAAATCATATGCTGCCTGGTTTTTTGAAGTTCTTTTTTATACTGACAGTTTCTGTTTCACTTGGTTGGTCAACTAATGTGGTGTAGGCATCCCGATCATGCTTAGGCCTCAAACAAGGCATCCACTGGACCCTTTATCTGCTGCCGAAATCTCTGTGGCAGTGGCAACCGTCAGGGCTGCTGGAGCCACACCTGAGGTCGTTATTTTCACTGTTGACTCGATTCTTTTTGCATTTTTTAAAAAGATAAATAAAATTCTTATTTGGTTGAAGTGGTTGGCTAAGTAATATTTTCGGTATGCCAGGTTAGAGATAGTATGCGTTTTGTTGAAGTTGTTCTACTGGAACCAGATAAACATGTCGTAGGTTTAGCAGATGCGTACTTCTTCCCCCCTTTCCAACCATCATTGCTTCCCAGAACCAAAGGTGGACCTATAATCCCGACTAAGCTTCCCCCAAGGCGAGCTAGGCTTGTTGTGTACAACAAAAAGTCTAATGAGACAAGCACATGGGTTGTTGAGCTGTCAGAAGTGCATGCAGCCACTCGAGGTGGACATCACAGAGGAAAAGTAATATCCTCACAAGTTGTTCCAGATGTTCAGCCTCCCATGGTATGCCTTTTCAGTGTTTCTTTTTATATATAAACTTGTTTGTACCTTTGTATGACCTGAGTTCTTTTGTTAATTAAAGATTACCACTTGATGTTCTTTAATTTGATTTTTTGGATTCTCAGCTATAGAAAAATACCAGGAATGAAAGAATAGGTGTCAATTTTGTAGATTTTGTTATTATTGATACAAGCGTTGTTTGAGTTTCGGTAACTGGCATTTGCTAAAAGACTCACATGTATGCTAAATTTCATGTAGTTGCATAGTTCTATGATGTTTTGGCATTAAGTAATATCTTGTTTTCTGGAACTTCAGGATGCTGTGGAGTATGCTGAATGTGAAGCTGTTGTGAAAGACTTTCCTCCATTTAGAGAGGCTATGAAGAAGAGGGGTATTGAAGATATGGACCTTGTGATGGTTGATGCCTGGTATGTAATATACATTTAGTGCTCCAGTACAGGTAGAAAGTCATCAGGTTAATCAGTGAGTTATAATTTAGTGTACGTATATGCTGCAGGTGCGTTGGTTACCATAGTGATGCTGATGCTCCTAGTCAAAGACTTGCTAAACCACTTATATTCTGTAGAACTGAGAGTGACTGCCCAATGGAAAATGGTTATGCACGCCCAGTTGAGGGCATCTATGTACTTGTTGATATGCAAAACATGGTGGTGGTAGAGTTTGAAGACCGTAAGCTTGTTCCTCTACCTCCAGCTGATCCATTGAGGAACTATACTCCTGGTGAAACAAGAGGTGGTGTTGATAGAAGTGATGTGAAACCTTTACAAATTCTTCAGCCTGAAGGTCCAAGCTTTCGTGTTAATGGGTACTTTGTGGAGTGGCAGAAGGTAAATTTTAAGTTGTTTCCTTAACTCTTTATTTATTTTTATTAAATTCAGAATGTCAACTAAATATTCTGGTTGGCAGTGGAATTTTCGTATCGGATTCACTCCTAGGGAGGGACTGGTTATATATTCGGTGGCATATGTTGATGGCAGTAGAGGACGAAGGCCTGTAGCCCATAGGTTGAGTTTTGTGGAAATGGTGGTGCCATATGGCGATCCAAATGACCCGCATTACAGAAAAAATGCTTTTGATGCTGGGGAAGATGGCCTGGGTAAAAACGCACATTCTCTCAAGAAGGTTTGAGGACTAATTCTTGGCTCAGTTTTGCTATATAAATGTTTTCTTAGTGTCTTCCATTTTCCCATATTTAATACTCCTTGCTGGCTGAAATTGAACTCTATTGCAGGGGTGCGACTGTTTGGGGTATATCAAATACTTTGATGCACATTTTACAAATTTCACCGGAGGTATTGAAACTATTGAAAATTGTGTATGCTTGCACGAAGAAGATCATGGAATTCTGTGGAAGCATCAGGACTGGAGAACAGGCTTAGCAGAAGTGCGCAGGTCAAGGCGGCTAACAGTGTCATTTATATGTACTGTGGCTAATTATGAGTATGGATTCTTCTGGCACTTTTATCAGGCAAGTTTCACACCATATTATTTGTTCGAATAATACCTTTCTTGTACTTTTGGATAAGATCAAGTTAGTGTCTCATCCTTTTGAGTTTCATTGAACTTGCCAAATATCCATTTTGAACTGGAAGACTGAAGAAAATTTCTATTGAATAATTAATTAGATTCCCTTTACTTATTTTATGAATCTTTGTCAACTGTATGATGTGAACATGCCAATATCATGCTGTTTGCAGGACGGGAAGATTGAAGCTGAAGTTAAACTTACAGGAATACTCAGTTTAGGAGCATTGCAACCTGGAGAAGTTCGAAAATATGGTACTGTTATTGCACCAGGGTTATATGCACCTGTTCATCAACATTTTTTTGTTGCTCGTATGGATATGGCTGTTGATTGCAAACCTGGGGAAACTTACAATCAGGTATGCTACTTAAAAAGTCTTACAATCAAGTTTTCTGCTTTAGGCATTAGACTTTTTTTAATTTATTATTTTTTGGTCTTTTGTTTTCTTTGGCAAATGTGCTTTGGCCAAGTGCATGGAAAAGCATATTACAACTCTGATTTTCAGTCCAACACATGGATGTTTGAATTTATGTTTTATTGTAAAGCATCTTATTCTGTCGAAACTCTGTATCCCTCCTCCAAACCTGAAAGTCTAGGATGTGAAGTAGGAAGATATGATCCATCTCCTGCTCTTATTGACTGCTTAATTTCTAGAACTACTCTCAAGAACATTTTGAGATTTTTATTCATAGGAATGGAGAATGAATAAGAACTTCTTTCCTCGTTTTGGCTCCTGGTTGTAACATTTTCTTACTCAACCTTAGAGTTAAGTTATTTTTATATGTGGACTTAATCATTACTGATAGAACCAACATGTTTTTTCTTCCATATAACTTCTTTTTCCTTATTATTTATTTTAGGTTGTGGAGCTGGACGTAAAGGTTGAGAAACCTGGGGATAACAATGTCCACAGCAATGCATTTTATGCTGAAGAGACACTTCTCAGGACTGAATTGCAAGCAATGCGTGACTGTAATCCTTTGACTGCTCGCCATTGGATTGTAAGGCATCCTTACCATGATTTTGCAACTGGTCCTGCTTAATGATTTTCTCCCTTGTTTAAGATATGAATGTGTGGTGTGATTCTTGTGTCCAGTCATGCTCATGCTGATTGAAATTTGTTTGTGGTCCAGGTAAGGAACACGCGAACTGTTAACAGGACTGGACAGTTAACAGGCTACAAGCTCGTACCTGGTTCAAACTGTTTGCCATTAGCCGGTTCTGAGGCCAAGTTTTTGCGAAGAGCAGCATTCTTGAAACATAACCTTTGGGTTACACCATATGCCCAAGATGAGATGTTTCCTGGAGGAGAGTTTCCAAACCAAAATCCACGTGTTGGTGAAGGATTGGCCACATGGGTTAAGAAGAACCGATCTCTGGAAGAAACTGATATTGTTCTTTGGTCGGTGTAATTCCTTCTCTCTTGGTTTTCCCATGTTGATATCAATAGTTTGTCTTTGCATTGTAACTGTTTAGTATGGTAGAGGTTAACAAGTAACCGTGATGATGATCGCAGGTATGTTTTTGGAATAACACATGTACCACGATTGGAAGACTGGCCTGTCATGCCGGTGGAGCGCATTGGGTTTATGCTCATGGTAATCATTGGATTAACCTATTAACCTTTGCTAAGCAGTTCAATTTAGCGTATGATTTGAAGCTGGCCATCAGTTTGTGATTTTTGGTTTGTTTGATGTTTGTGGTTGCAGCCCCATGGATTCTTCAACTGCTCTCCAGCGGTGGATGTTCCCCCTAGTGCATGTGAATTGGAGGCCAAAGACAATGATGTAAAAGACAATGGGGTAGCCAAGTCAATTCCGAATAGCTTGCTAGCAGCAAAGCTTTGAAGCCAACAAAGAAAGAGAAAAAAAATACTGTCATCTGTCTCTTCCAATACATTTCAATCGGTCTTTTTGGAAACAAGTTTACTATTCCCATTTCCAATTTCAACTGGGCGCGCAGAAAACAAATGGCCTTTGTTTGGTCTTTTTTTTCTATTCAGACACGCTTTCTGTGAATCGAGCTAGATTTCTTGTTTTTTATTTTTTTCATTTTTAAACTTGTTTTTCGATTTCATACTTTTTAATGAGACCCCTCCTTTATGCTTTGCAACGGTTTCGCGGCAACTGACATTAAGCTTCTAACACGAAACATAAAAGAAAGAAGGGCTCCATCTTCTTCATATACTACACTTGAATTCCACTTCACATTCACAATCATTGATCAAATTCATGAGATTCATGACAACTCTTCTTCTCATTTTATTCTATTATGTTTTTGGGAAAAGTCTGAGCACGAGACCTGGTTCTCTTCATGGTTCTGAAAGATGCATATTTTATCAAGGAATATGAAAAGAAAAATAAGTAAATTTCCTAATAGCCCAAAACAAAACAAAAACAAAAAAACCTAAAGAATCAGAAGTATGAGATTTTGCCCACGAGTCAAAATGATTGAAGTGAAAAATGGATTAACTTTACAATGCCAAAATTTTCTTAACCATGACCAGTGCCAAGAATGGCAAAAAAACTTATATGAAATGGGAATAGCACTATTTTGCTCTTTTCAGCCAATCACGCTATGCCAATTGGAATGACATAGCGTGATTGGCAGAGATCCCAAAACAGTGCTCTCCCTCAATGGAAGGGGACTGTAGGATACCTTAAAGGGGATCCCTCAAATAAAATTATTTGACGGAACCCTCAATAGAAGGGACTATATATATATATATATATATATATATGATTTTTTATTTATTTATAATTTATTTAATTTGGCACTTGAGGATGCTGTGGAGTATGTTGAATGTGAAGCTGTGGTAAAGGACTTTCCTCCATTTAGAGAGGCTATGAAGAAGAGGGGCATAGAAGATATGGAGCTGGTCATGGTTGATGCCTGGTATATATATATATGTAATTAATCTAGATTTAGTGGTCCTGTAAGGTAATTAGCAAGCATGCATGCCAACATGTAAATCTTTGGTGCAGGGGTGTTGGTTATTATAGTGCTGCTGATGGTCCACAGCGAAGACCACTGATATTCTGTAGAACTCAGAGTAAGCGTCCAATGGAAAATGGTTATGCACGCCCTGTGGAAGGCCTCTATATACTTGTTGATATGCAAAATATGGCCGTCATAGAGTTTGAAGACCGCAAGCTTGTTCCCCTACCTCCAGCTGATCAATTGAGGAACTTCACTCCTGGTGAAACAAGAGGCGGCGTTGATCGAAGAGACGTGACGCCTTTACAAATTCTTCAGCCCCAAGGTCCAAGCTTTCGTGTGAATGGCTACTTTGTGGAGTGGCAGAAGGTAAGTTTTGAACATTACTTCTAGTTAAGATGCACTCAATTTTGAGGATTTGGTTTCTTAAGCTTATTATATATCTTCTTGTATGTTTATCAAATTTGGCAGTGGAATTTTCGTATCGGGTTCACTCCGAGGGAGGGACTGGTTTTATATTCTGTTGCATATGTTGATGGTAGTAGAGGAAGAAGGCCTGTAGCTCACAGAAAAAATGCTTTTGATGCTGGAGAAGATGGCCTTGGTAAAAATGCACATTCTCTAAGAAAGGTTTGAAGAAGACTGATATCAATTATTCTTGGCTAATTTTCATTCCAAATGCATATGTTGGGCTGAAACTAATGATTTTTGAAACAGGGTTGTGATTGTTCAGGCTATATCAAATACTTTGATGCCCATGTTACAAATTTCACAGGAGGCGTTGAAACAATTGAGAATTGAGTTTGTCTGCACGAAGAGGATCATGGGATTCTGTGGAAGCACCAGGACTCGAGATCAGGGCTTAGCTCAAGTGCGCAGGTCAAGAAGGCTAACAGTGTCTTTTATGTGCACTGTGGCTAACTATGAGTATGGATTCTTCTGGCACTTCTACCAGGCAAGTTTTTTAATTGGTTACAATTTGTTTTCTCAATGCCAGCTTATTGGTTGCCAAGCAAGTCATTGCGTTGGTTTTTGCAGGATGGAACAATTGAAGCTGAAGCTAAACTCACAGGAATTCTCAGCTTAGAAGCATTGCAACCTGGAGAAGTTCGAAAATACGGTACTGTGATTGCACCAGGCCCTCTATGCACCAATTCATCAGCACTTTTTTGTTGCTCGTATGGATGTGTCTGTTGACTGCAAACCTGGCCAAGCTTACAATCAGGTACATATATTTTTATATCAGTATATTTATATATATATATATATATATATATATGCTGCTTAAACTATCTGTTTTAGTTTATTTTTCCCTAAGTATTTACTAATTCTAGGTTCTGGAGGTGAATGTTAAAGCAGAGCAATCTGGGGAGAAAACTAATGTCCACCACAATGCATTTTATGCTGAAGAGACACTTCTCAGAACTGAAATGCAGGCAATGCGTGACTGCAATCCTTCGACTTCTCGCCATTGGATTGTAAGCCATCCTTCATTACAAGATTTGATTTTGCAGCTGGTTCTTCTCCTGCACATTTAATTAGCTAATGTTAATTAATGATTAACTTAATTATATGATCGATCCAGGTAAGGAACGCGAGAAGCGTTAATAGGACTGGAGAGTTGACAGGCTACATGCTGGTGCCTGGTTGAAACTGTCTGCCATTTGCTGGTTCTGAGGCCATGTTTTTGAGAAGGGCTGCTTTCTTGAAACACAATCTTTGGGTTACACCATATGCATGCCATGAGATGTTTGCTGGAGGAGAGTTTCCTGAGCAGAATCCGCGCGTCGGGGAAGGATTGGCTACATGGGTTAAGCAGGATCGGCCTCTTGAAGAAACTGATATTCTTCTTTGGTAGGTTGGTTATGGTTAGTTTGCATTGTTTGTTTGTTAATGAAGCAATGGTGATAAATATTAATTGCAGGTATGTATTTGGAAAAACACATGTTGCTCGGCTAGAAGACTTGTCTTGCCAGTGGAGCGCATTGGGTTTATGCTCATGGTATATTATTCACCCCCATTAATTAATCTTGATATAAGATCAATTTAACCTGTATATATTTTGTGTGGATTCTTCAGCTGCTCTCCTGCGGTGGATGTTCCACCTAGTCCTTGTGAGTCATTGAATGCCAAGCCAACTCAGAGCGGGGTGTTACCAAAGCTTTGAAGAGGTGCGATCAAATGAGTTTGTTAGATGTGGGTTAGGAAACCTAGCTGGGTAAAGGCCGTATGTCTGTTTCCTTACACGCAAATTGGATTCTCCTTTCCGTATAATAGAGTAGTTTCAAATATCGTTTTGTCATAATATAAAAAAAACAAATGAGGTTATTGATGTTTTCTAATGTCAATTTAGATGAAATTGTTATTTGCACTATATAACTAGTTATAAATTATGAATAACAACTCCCATTCCAAACCTTATTTATTTTGTTATTTATTTTGAACAAACGAAATGCCGCACAATCACATGCCACATTACATTTTGTGGCTAAAATTTGGAGAAAAAAAGTCATCAAACAAACGACGAATAAATCATCAAAACCCCCAATTATTATTTAATTCAATTTGGATTCCTTATCGACATCAACATATTATATTCTCCCATAAATAATAAATAAAATAAAAAAGAATTTTTATTTTTATTTTTAAAAGAAAGAGGAAATTTTATCCCAATTTTAAAAGGCCAAAATAGAATCACATTCACAAGCATCCATGGCAGCATGGCGTCTCGTCGATTATTCTTTTCTGAAATCGTAGCCGCGTGGGCGTGGCCGGCACAGATCCTGAGACCCAACAAAGACTGCAGTTTCTTGTCGTCCTAGATTTTCTGCTTTTCTTCTGGTCGTCGTCGTGTCTCCTCCGTCTGCAAAAACAAGTCATGTCTGCCCCGGAAAATGACGACAAGAGCCTCCACCAGGAGCTCTCGCTTATCATCCTACTCGCCGATCGGGTCATCAAATCGGCCCAAGAGGCCGAGTCCTCCAAGCTGGACTGCGCCGACCTCGCCAAGCAAGTCGACCGCCTCTCCCAGATGCTCCGATCCACCGTCCGAATCGCCGCCACCACTCAGTCCCTCTACGAGCGACCCGTCCGCCGAATTGTCGCTGACGTGGCGAAGAACCTCGACCGGGCTTTGACTCTGGTCCGGAAATGCAAGCACAGTGGGGTCCTCAGACAAGTCTTCTCCATAACCACCACCGCCGATTTCAGGAAAGTCTCGAGCCTTCTGGAATCTTCCATCGGAGACATGAAGTGGCTTCTCTCCGTGTTCGAGTCCGACGGCGCCAACCTCTCCCTGCCTCCGATCGCCAGCAACGACCCAATTCTCAGCTGGGTCTGGTCTTACATAGCCACTATCCAAATGGGTCAACTCAGAGACCGAGTCGACGCGGCTAACTCGCTCGCTTCCCTGGCTCGGGACAACGACCGAAACAAGAAGATAATCGTCGACGAAGGTGGCCTGACGCCGCTGCTAAAGCTTTTGAAAGAAGGGTCTTCCCCTGACGCCCAAGTTGCGGCGGCCAATGCTCTGTTTCATATTGCTACTGATTTAGAAAGGGTCCGAATTATCATCGATTTAATGGGAATTTCGGTTGTTGTTTCGGTTTTGGGTGATTCGCCGATGCGGGTTCAGGCTTCCGTGGTGAAATTGGTGTCGGAAATGGCGGGGCTTGACCCGGTTGCGCAGGAGGAGTTTGGTAGGGAGAATGTGACGAGGCCTTTGGTGTCTTTGTTGTCCATGGATACGGTTCTGGATGATCCGAAGGTGCAAACGGGTAAGCCTAGCATTCATAATCTTGTTCAGATTAACAAAGAGTTAGCTGGAAAGGGTTCAAATCCCAATAGTCGTTCGTCGTCATTTTCGAGTCATTATCATTCAGATGGTAGTAGTAGAGGGGCGCATTATAGGAAAGAGAGGGACAGGGAGGCTGAGTCCCCTGAGGTGAAGCTTGAGCTCAAGGTTGGTTGTGCCGAGGCTTTGTGGAAATTGTGTAAAGAGTGCTTGTTGAATAGTAGAAAAGTTACTGAGACTAAAGGGTTGATTTGTTTGGCAAAGATTATTGAGACTGAAGGAGGGGAGTTGCAGCTGAACTGCTTGATGACTGTGATGGAAATAGCCGCAGTGGCTGAGTCCAATCCCGACCTTAGAAGAGCGGCCTTTAAGCCTACCTCTCCGGCTGCAAAGGCGGTTTTGGATCAGCTTTTGAGAGTGATTCAAGAAGAGAGTAGTCAAGAATTGCAAATTCCTGCCATTAAGGCAATTGGATCATTGGCAAGAACATTTCCTGCTAGGGAAACCCGAATCGTTGGTCCCTTGGTTGCACGGCTTGGCAATGGGGATGTGGATGTGGCAACTGAGGCTGCTATTGCATTAGGGAAGTTTGTGAGTACGGACAATTTCAATTGTGTGGAGCATTCGAAGACGATTATTGAGTTTGATGGGGTTCCTTCTTTGATGAGATTGTTGCGGACCACTGATCGAATCAACGAACGGGGCCACGTCAACTGCTTAGTACTACTATGTTATCTAGCATTGCATGTTGGCAATAGCAAGGCTCTTGAACAAGCACGAGCATTGAATACTCTTGAGGGGGGAGCTCGTTCTGTTGTAGCTCAGTATCCTGATTTGAGGGATTTGTTTGCCAAATCCATGCACAATCTCACTCTTTATCAGGCTGGAGCTCATCCCCACAGGCAAACCTACATACCCTAGATTGCCGCAGTTTTAGTCATGTGAGTTTATCCTGTATTTGTAACATAGAGAACAACAAATTGGTTCCTTGCCAACTAATGAAACCCAAAATTCATTGGTGTCGGAAATAGTTGTTTTGTAATATAGATTGATCGTCATTGCACTGTGTCAGCTGTTGTCTTTGACTAGATGAGTGGATGTTAAAGGTATCTTCATGTTTTAATAAAGCATTGAATTTTTGTCTCTCCCTGTCTTCTAGCCCTTTGAATGCATGTTCATTTCTGATATCTCTAACGTTCAGCACAACAGAAAATCCCCTTGCAGTAACATAATCTGATATACTTAGTTATGCCCTCGTTTATGTGGAGCTTCTCAGTAAGTCATATACGTAGGTAGGCCCTCGTTTATGTTCAACATGTTTTATGCTCTGTTGTGCGTGCAATTTTCTTATACCATTGTGCTATATTAATCTATATTCCAGACATCATCCTATCTAATATGTTTGCTCTAGTTATTGGTGTATAACTATTGCTTTCATTGGATTTCACTTAGGGTGAGGACCGACCTATTTTCTTGCTCTAAAATTACTAATTTTTTGTTTCATTTTGTTGCGTCATATCTCAGTTTTCACGAGTATTAGTCAAAATTTTCTGCCTTGATTTGTTATTTTCAATTATTGGAATTTTCATCCAATAGGACCTCCTCTTTCTGATCATCCTTGGAAGGAACCTGATTTAACTGCCTAAGGCACAACTTTTTTGAGATAACTAAAGGTGCCTCCTTTGCCAAGAGCTAGTAGGGAACTTTAAGAATAAGAAGAGATGATGAAGTTGCCTTGGTTGCAGCATTCATGGCAGATAAGGTTTGGACCATGCCCTAGTATATTGCGATGACAGAAGCTTGCAAAAATTTGTAGTTCATGAAGAAATTACCCAGCATGTTCAGTTTGACGAAAGCCAACTATTCTCTTGTTTGTTGTCTGGGCTTCATGTCTGCAGTTAGTTTCGATGCTAGTATTGTCTTCCATCCGAGGCCGGCAGCTGGCATTTTTCAGGCAGGCAGACTGTTGATTACAATTGGTTTGGTGGTGCAAACTGAAAACACAACCACACGCATATCAATGTGGAGCTTTAACTTGAATGAATCAAAGGATGTTTCTGTAAGTCACAAGAGTGGAGGATATTGGGTTTTCAAGGATTGGAGAGAACATCAATACTCTTGTCAAGAATCTGCATATTTCATTTACAAATTGTGCTGCTCCTCAACAGTTAACGTTTTTCAATGTTCTATTTGTAGATTGTATATCTCCCAGTGAGGAATCTGCATAATTCTTCTATGCTCGATTATGTCATGAATCGGGTGAATGATCTTAGAACTTCGTCATGTGTGTATAGAACAGTTTTTTTTTTTTTGGGGGGTTGCCAATTGGCTTGCTTATTAAGATCCATAATCCATAAGGCTTCCTAAAAGGATACAGAACAAGATTAGATCAATTGTCGCCTACTACTTCCTGACCAAGCGACGTGTCAATTCCGCGGTATGAGAAGAAAAGCCATACACGCTTCAAACTGAATATTTCACAACTTTTTACACTTGCAGGAGAGCAGGAAGGTAAAACAATGAGTGTTAAAGCCATAAGCCTAACATTATAAACAAGACATGTTTTTAATCAACAACATTAGTAAAACAGCATATAATTTCCATAAGATTGCTCAAAACTGCATCTCAACGACGCATCGTTTCGGAACTCGCCCCCAGAAATGGCTATCTAGCAGGCAGCAGTTTAATTAAAAATAATGAAAAGGACATGAATTCTAGTTGCAGCTGTTCCAGACTTGTGCCTACCTACTTTGTCTAAAGTCTAAACTAAGCCATGCCAATTCCAGAAGACTCAAATTCTAACTGAGAGGGACAGCTATTCTAACCAACCTCTAATGCAAGAGCAAACAATCATCAAGCATGTCCTCAGTTGCTCCTTTGATTCAAACCACGAAAGAGGCAACCAATAGAGACATGAAACCAATTTCGCAGCCTCAGTCAGATATATAAATAATTGCAGCTTAATTATCTTTGATCACAAGCTATATATCATTCATAAAGCTTTCAAATTAAGCAACCAAAAACACTTTATTATCTCCTCTAAGTTTCTTAGCTCTGTTTGCTGTCAATGTTTAAATGTCATCATTAGTACTGAGAGCCAAACTGCAAATTATGCAGTCTATGTGTTACATACATACATGTATATATACAGTTTTTCTATCATCCGGACGTAACAAGGAGGAAAGCAAGGAAGGGTAGTAGAAAATACATGATGTTCGCTGGGTTAATTTATAACTTCATTTTAAGCATCAATCAATGTCCAATTAGTAATGTATTCGCTGTACGCAAAACTGGCCAGACTGGCTTGGTCAGCAGACTACGTTTTCAAACTTTCAAAATATTTTGTGCATCAAAATTCAAAGATTGGTCCTCCAAAATCTTAAGAAGCTAGCTAGGTGTCATAATTTGTGCCAAAACAGGCCAATCAAATGGTAGAAGCTCAAAAGAGCTGGCTGGTGCACACTTTGCTCTCTGCCTTTTTTGTGTTTTTTGTTTTTGCTCTGCAGAAATCAAACCATCTGAATGTTAACATGTTCCATGTGATATTGACTCAAAAACAAAACTTGTTGAAAGAAAAGCTCCGTTGTCGGTGCCGCTTTGTATTTTTGGTCTGTCTCAAAGAGCTCATTACTAGCTAAAAGGCTTACCAAGACCAGTCCAACTTTTCCAACACCCTTGTTTTGTTTGACCAAAATAAACCCTTTTCATCTTTACTTGGGAAGACCATCTTTTTTTCTTTTTGGTTCATGCATTCAAATTTATTTGCTTTTGACCCCCCTCATGTCGGTTCACTTGAGCTTTGTGTTTTTTGCATGCATATGCATATAATTGTAACAAAAACCAGGAAGAGGTTAATTGTAATTTAATTTTATTGACTTCTTCTCTTAAGTAATTTGATTTGATTTGTTAATCACAGACGTAAAAATTCATTAATCACAGATGTTGATATCAGGAGTCTGAAGCAAGCAACTCAAAGCCATGAATTTTTTATGATAACTGATGTTTAGTTTGTATCAATTTTATTAACTGTCGCCAATGAGTATGAGGGTGATCTTTTTTTCTTTCTTTACATGTTTTGAATTAAAGGAAGGTCCAGAGTCTGATTGGTGTCAAGACTTTGAACACTATAATATATAGGTCTCAAAGTGGTTTTCATTTCCTATAAAACGATCTCACCTCTTTGTAAAGCGAAATGAAAATGACCTTAATTAACATGCATTTTAAGTAATTAAACACTAAATTTAGTTCCGATTTGGTGAATCGATCACTAAGCTATTTGTAAAATTGCTGGAACTCAATCTATATGGTGATCATTTTCAGTGACCCACCAAAGGGTATATGATTGAGTACTTGTAATTCGGTGTGGCGTATGGATAAGAATTTTAGGGTCGACGTATCTTTTGTACCTACAAAAATGATAGGAAAGAAGAGTACATATAATTATTTGAGAAGGGCTCTTGAGCTCTACATTGTTTTGGCGACTGCCTTAAAGTATAATGTACCTGCGGGCATATATGTTTCAAAGTCAAAATTAGCCCATGCATGGGCTCCATGCATATGCACGACCTTGAAGCCTTGGCCGGCGCTGACTAGCATCTCCCTAAAGTGACATAGTGCCCTTTGTGAGAGCCTCCCACTAGTACAGCCGACACTACATGTTATTTGCACTCGCAGATTGTCGTTCTGCAATTCAACGTCAATACTCTATTATTCGAAACCACGCAAAGAAAGAGGGCGCGGAATGACAAACTCTGGGTGTGAGAATAGCATTGCTACGAGCAATTTAGAGTTTTTTTTGTTTACTTTGGAAGACTCCTATCTCTCTTTCTCTCTAGATGTCTCTCCAATAATGCAAGAGAGGCCAGCCAAGATTAGCCTTTTGGAGGGATGCGACTGAATGCATGAATGGTCTGGAGCCCGCCATATATATATTTGCTAGAAAATCAGCATCTCTGGCGTACTCTCTCTCTCTCTCTCTCTCTCTCTCTCTCTCTCTTATATATATATAGAGAGAGAGAGGCCCAGAATAATCTTCCCAAAACTCTGCCAGCGGTTCAAGAAATATCACAATCTCCACCCAACCCCACACAGGGCCCTAACTATATTGTAATTAATTTACAAACATACACATAATTATGAATTTCCATATAATTTAATGTATGTGTATGTATGTATGTATGTATGTATGTATACGTTCAATGTATACTTGTTGATACAGATTAAACATCAATAATGAGCTTTGTTTGGTCATGGGGTTAATAATGCAAATCAAGAATTAGTTTGTAGCTGCTAGCTGTTTGGTGCAGAGCAGCTTTGGCCTCTGCAAAAGCACTTTGGTGGTAAGCAGGAAAATGACAGACATGAAAACAGCAATGTTATAATGATAATTAGTTTACCAACACCGTAAGATTAGGACCACAAAAGCAACTAATTACACCCATCATATTATTTCAACCTTTTTTTTTCTTCTGAAAAGAACAGAATACAGAATATGCTGCAAATTACAGTTTAACAACTTGGTAAAATCAACTAAAATATTTATTACACCTGGTCAATAAAATAAAAGTGGAAAAAGAAAATCCTCAATCCCAACCCAACCCTTTTTTTTTTTTTTTTTTTTTTTTTTTTTTTCAGAAGGAATTCCCCTGTTACTATCAACATCTATGTGTATTTGTTTAAAAACCCAAGAAGAAACCAAAAATTAAAAATTGAATTTACAATCTCAGATATGCTGGAAGACATCAAAATTTGCACCTGTTAGATCTTCTGACAGCGACGTTAACGGATAGCTATTGAAATCTACAGAATTTTGAGCATGAAGAAGCTGCTGCCCTTGTTGCCATGAATTGGGTTTGATAAGCTCCTCTGATTTTATCCCATTGGCATGGAATTGAAACATGGAGTCTAGTTTGTTATCTGTGTCCCATGAAAAAGCTGCATTTTCGACTACGTTGTTGTTGTTGTTGTTGTTGTTGTTCATATGGAACCCTGCTGCATAGCTGCTCACATTGGAGCTATTGCTTGAACATTCCTTCACCTCATTCATGAAAAATGAGCTCAGTCTTGAAGCTGAATTATCAGAAAAATCTGTCCCTGACATGCTCCCGTGGTCCGAATTCGCTAAACTTGGCATTGAAGTGAACCCAAAATTTGAGCTTGTCTCATAAGTAGTATTATGGGGTTGATTGAAATGGGGTCTAACATTGGTAGGGTGGTATTGAGTGGAAACAAGATCTGAATTGTAGCCAGATGGCTCAATACCTGTTTGGAACTCAAAGTAAGAGAGAGAATCAAAGGCCCTTGAGGCTTGTGTTAAAACTCCAGCTCCATCAAAGTAATTTGAATCATTGACAAGAAATGTTGGACCTTGGGAGGAAGACATGGCTGGTATAGTTGGAAGCCCTTGTTCATGCTCTGGCATTGGCAAACACTCTTTTAATTCTGAACAATCCATACTCTTCTTCTCTTTCATTTCTTCTTCACTTAGTGGCTTGTGGGTAGTTGGGTCAATTCCTTGCTTCATTAGCTTCTTCTTCAAGCATGAATTCCAGAAGTTCTTTATCTCATTGTCTGTTCTGCCTGGTAATTGTGCTGCAATTTGAGCCCACCTGATGAAATTTCAAAACCAGATACATTCAAATGCCAAAACAAGGATTGCCCACTTCTGTTTTCATATCAGGGATGATAAATTCAAGCCTGTTATTGCAAAAAAATATTGTGGTTAATTGGTTTTAAATTAATTACCTGTTGCCAAGAACTTCATGGAGACTGATAATGAGATCCTCTTCTTGTTGTGAGAACATCCCTCTCTTCAAATCAGGCCTCAAATAGTTTATCCATCTCAACCTGCAACTCTTTCCACACCTCTGCAAACCTAAAACCAGAAACAAAATTATCAAACATTTGATAAAATGTTTCAAACACCAAATTTGAATAATGCAAAGTTGAAGAAGTTATGCAATTAAGTACCCGCAAGCTTTGGGACTGAACTCCAGCAACCAACACCAAACCTGGTGATGTAATTGAAGAGCTTCTCATCTTCTTCTGGTGACCACAGACCTTTCCTTAACTTCTGCTTCAAACAACACGAATGGCGTCCCATTTCTTTTCGTTTCTTTTTTGTGCTAATGAGAAATGGAAAATGATATAGCAGCCGCTAGCAGGTAGCTGCTGCTGATCACAGCAAAAATCCGGACATGGGGGTTGAGAATATATGTCTGTTTCTATGACTCTCTCTCTCTCTCTCTCTCCATATGTTGTAAGAGTGGAAAAAATTAAGAATAATTTGTTATGATTTAAAGAAAACTGGCATAAATCATACTTAGAATTCAAGTCATAGAGAGAGATAGAGAGAGAAGGAAAGAGGGAGAGAGAGAGAGAGTTGAAGCAATCAAGTGGGTTTTACGCAAATCTGGTGCTGCTGGCTGCTTTTTGCATTGGACTGGATTGGTTTTTAAGATATCTCTCTATCTATAGAATTGTGGGAAGAAAAAAAAAAAAAAAAAAAAAAAAGATATAAATGAGAACAGCTCTATAAACGTGTACTTTAGTTTAACTTATTAGTGAAAAATACAGTTACATGTTTAGGGTTCATAAAAATATTTAATGGGTTGAGGGGACTTGGGAAATTAATTTACATAAAAGAAAAGCTGCTTATGTTTAAAACCTCATCAATCCAAAAGCAGGGGTGTCCCTTGATTTAATTTTATGTTGCTTGCAGAAATAGAGACCTTTGATTTAATATTGAGCATGTGCTTATGTTCAGCATAATTAACCATCCATAATATTTGCACTTAATTAGCCTCACCTACTATTGTGTATTTGTTATGATTTTGAACCATTTCAATCAAAATAATAATATTTTGTATAGTTTTATACGGAAATATATGGAAGGAAATTAGTTTACTTTTTTCTCACACTTGTTGATTTGAATATAAGCGATAGTCACTAGACCTCTGATAAGCAAATTAAGACCCTTTTTCACTAGACTCGACTACATCCTGTTGGCTCTTTCACTTGTTGCCTAAGTTGGAACATAACACATATTGATGAATTTGCATAAAATAGTATTTCAGCCATGCTTTGCCAGCTACTGTACACAGAACACTGCGTTTGAGGACAAAATAATTAAATTATAAATCAAAATAATTAATCTTATCGAACTACCAACATGTAGCATTATACGCTAAAAAATTTATATATATGTCATATATTACTTTGTATAAATATTTACAGGATAAATATAAAGCCATCAGCCGACAGTACCAGAGCGTCAAGTGTGGGTTCCATTTGTATATGCGACTATATAAAAAGAGAAAATTATTACATAAGTCATGCTAGAAATATCTTGAAGGTACCTATGTATTTTTCACACAACATAAAAAATAAAAATAAAAATAAAATCCCAATGATTCCATGAGAAACTACATAAGAAAACATAAAAGAAAAAAACAAAAGAACAGACAACTCCCCTTTTTCCCCTTTTCCCTTTCTTCTTCTTCTTTATAGTTTCCCCGCCCTTTTGGCCTGCCGCCATTAACAAAGTATTTATTAATTTAATCTGTATTAATATACTAACATACTTAAAATGGATGAGATTAGTTTACCCTGTATATCTTGTTGCCATGTAAGGAAAAGGATACTGCTTGGTTTCTTGAAATTGAGTAGGAGTTTATTCTTAAAATTAATGTGGTTTTGACATAGTGAGGTGTGAGCATCACTCATATTAATTTGTACGTCCATTATTTTTGTAATGACACTACTTGAGCTACCCTGTTATTTTTGTAATGATGTTGCATAAGCTACCCTAGAAGACGATACTCCTTATTTATGCAAATAACAGTTTGACACATATGCAAAAATAATTCATAAAAAATACTAAAGAAAAACTTCTACACATGTCATATAGTCATTAGCATGAATGAAGGAGTTCCTACTTATAAGAGAATGAGGGAAGTATTTTCTTTTTTGTAAGAGGTTAACGCATTTTATTTTATTTTGTTTCTTAGTTTCTTAGTTCCTTGTCCCCTAAGTTTTAATAATTTTGCTTTTGTGGGGATAAAAAAAGTATTTATCAATTTGCATAATCAATGTTTTTATAAATAAAATCAAACAAAAAGGGAAACCCCCAAGAAATATACCCTTCTTGCTTTCATGAATTGGAAAGAGGAGAATGCCCCCACCCTAGTACCAACTTTAGCTTAAAATAAAAAAATTATTTTAAAAAAACATGAACAATCAAAGATCTAAAATCATGGATTAACATAATGAAAGCTTATGATCAACTAATGGTGGGCCCCGATCCTCCACATGGCAGCCACGTATTAAGACATAATCAATTAGCGTCCGAGTGACCACACCGTATTAAATCTCCAACTTGGATGAAGCCCTCAATGATTGGAGGCTCTGAAAGACGTTTCTATGACCGACAGTTACACGTATGACAATATAAATGCCATATAAGTCTTGGAAAATACGCAGCCAGCTCGACACGCCTAAATACGACCAATATGTACACTTAATTGCCCTACCATCCTCTGTCGTTTTGTCGGCGCCTCTCATCATTCTACAGTACGACACCGTCTAAGTCCAATCCAGGATGCTTATTCTTATTCTCTAAACAAATCAAAGATTAAGAGCATAACGTGATTTAAAATAAGAGCAAATTGCTTGTTTTAGACTAGTGAAAAATTATGCATGGCGTCACACGTGAAAAATAATTTGTTGGGATTTGAAAGCAAACATCGTATCATCGCTAAATAAATTAATCGATCACGTTAGCATATAATTGGTTTGGTTAATTGTTAGACACTAATTAATTGAACTTTCTGATTAGAAAAAGAGTGCATGATTATTGGCTAAATTATTTAAAGACTAAAACCAAAAACAAATACATGATTAAGTCAAGTTTAGATGATTTAATTAATTAGTAGCAACCCGCGTGTGAAATAGCTTTTGAGACACCAATGATGTGAATGTAGCTTTTGGGTTTGACTTCTCCTTAATTTCCCTCTTTTTCATTTTCTTTTCAATCCTATTCAATTGGAAAATCTTAATCTGAAAAAAACGAAATCCATGGTGAAAAAGTTGTCGCCCTATCACCACACCTATGGTGCATGCACAGACACAAATATATATTGTAATATTATGCAATGATTCTTTATTTTATTTTTTCTGCACTGATCGATGAATCAATATGACCATACAGCAAACATGAATCCTGCAATTATTATATAAAAATGTGTACCTAATTATGCCCCCAAAAAAAAATAAAAATTCAAGAGTATAATATTTATTTATTTTTTAAAAGAAAAGAAGGAAGAAGAAGAAAATTACTCTTATATAGGTGTAAGAAAAAAGTGGTCTACTAGGCTTGTATTTTGAGTGCAGGACAGATTGGAATTTTGCTTTTATGGGGCGGCAATAGTTTTGATTTTCATTCTATATTTAAGGCTCGTTGGGGAGTGATTTTGGATAGGCGAATAATATCTTATATGGAGAGTAGAGCATCCACAATAAGCTCCCTAAACCACCTCCTTAGACAAATTTTAGGGATGAATGATAAAAATGCAACTACAACCACGCTTCCTATCCACCTTCTAAAATAGGGAGTCCTCTCTAGGAGCTCCTAAATCTGATGAGAGAGAAAGGACTCCTAGTGGCTCCTTATAATTTAATGCTGTTTTATTTAATGAGTATTTCAAACCTTTATTTAATGCTAACCATTTTTTATTTTATTTTTTAATAGAGATGGACCAATCAAAAAAAAGTTATAGCATTTATGACTCTCCAAATTAGGGAGTATGGTTGGAGTTGAAATTTTTTAGAGAGCTCCTAAAATAACTTTCTTATATTCTTAGCCAAATTTTAGCTAAGAAATAGAGAGCATCATTGTGGATGCTCTTAGAGCATCTACAATGAGCTCTCTAAACTATATCTTTAGACAAATTTTAGAGAGGAATTGGAAAAATACAACTCCAACCATGCTCCCTATCCACCTCCTAAAATAGGGAGACCTCTAAGAGCTCATAAATTTGAGGAGAGAGAAAGAACTCCTAGTGACTCCCTATATAATTTGATATTGCTTTATTTAATGAGTACTTCAAACCTTTAATTAATGCTAACTATTTTTTATATTATAAAGAGCTCCTGAAATAACTTTTATATGTTTTTAGCTAAAATTTAACTAAGAAATAGAGAGCATGATTGTGGATGCTATTACTTCTCCATATAATCATTTTTATTTGTTTTAAATGATTTTATAGCACTTATCCCCAAAATCACTTAAACACTTTCAATGCTTCTCCTCAAACGAGCCCTTCATTTCAAGACAAGAATGGCTACCCGCCGAATTTGTGGTTTAATTAATGCAACACTTAAGTCCGACGGAAGAGTCAAAAAGAAGAAATTGGAACTATATTAATTGACAAGTACTTTCTAATTAGGCCATTCCTTTAAAATCTGTTTAGGAAATACCATACCATACATGAACCCTTTCTCACTAGGTTTTGGGTCCCGGATAGATTTTTAAAGAGGACAGTGATAGATAGCTTGTTTGGAAAACCTCTTGATGGGTCAGATTCATCTCTTGTTCCCCCATATATAATCAGGTTCATTATCTAGTAACTTAGATCAGAGTATTAGCTTAGCTCTTAACTAAATGTTTTTATTTATTCATAAATTTGATAGGGAATATTTTAATTAAATTGAAGTAGTTCCAATTCATCACTTAATCTGGCCAGAATCAGTCCCGAGATAGAGGGGACAAAAGATTAGTTAGTGATCCAAAGCACATGGTGTAGCTTATTAGCTGATCCATCAAACTAACTAATAAACCAACATTAATGAGATATTATGGGGGTGGGCCGGCGATAATCATTTTGTGATAAGGGCCCTCCTAATCAACTTGTCAAAATCAGTCGAATTCATCAGAGTAATGGCCTAACATGTTACACTTGAAATGATCGAGATTAGTAGACGAGATGTAAACTCGAATGTTAAAATTCAATATACGGAACCCCTCGAGAGTGTGAAAATAGTAAATACTTGAATTTACCGCGTACGTTTTGATCCCTTACGACTTGCAAGGAAGAAATAACTGGG